TTTTTTTTCTTAAACTGAGCCCATGTGCAGGCAAACGTGGCCTGAGCTCTTAAAGTTGGGCTAGGTGACTTTGATAAAGTGGTGATAGAGGAAGAGAACTCCCCTCTGGGTGTTCAGAGGAAAAAATGAGCTTCCTGTCTTACCGGGAGAGAGATAAGCAAACATAACTCTACCCTTACAGAGGAATGAACCGTGTCTGCAATGATAACCAGTTCCTCTTTTTAACCCCACTTTTTCATGATAAGCATGTAGAAGCTTTCTAAGATGACTTTTGAAGAAAGGCATGTGGGTGATATGCTGTTATTTAAAATATCTAAGTCTTTATTTGATGGACTGTTACTGCTTTACAGAGGTAACCAGAACAGCAGGTCTCCCTGGTTGGGGGTGAGTTTTTCCTTTTCTTATTGAGGGAGCAGCACTGAGTCCCTAAGAGATGGGGCTGCCTACGTGGCTCCTGTTGTGCAGCSGGTAGTGTGCCCGCAGCGGGTTCTCACGCACGGACTGTGATCCCTTCCTCTCATCCTCGGCTACCTGCAGCCTGTGGGAGCACCCAGCTGATGCTCTAGGAAATCTGTCCTGAAGCTGGGTGCATTTGTTCCTGCTGCACTTGATGGAAGGATCATACTTGAAGGGTGAATGTAGGGAGGAAGGGAAGGTACTTCTCAGTAATAGCCAGTGACGGGACAAGGGGCAATGGGTGTAAGTTGAAACCCAGGCAGTTCCATCTCCATGTGAGGAAGAACTTCTTTGCTGTGAGGGTGCCAGAGCGCTGGCACAGGCTGCCCAGGAAGGCTGTGGAGGCTCCTGCTCTGGAGGTCTTCAAAACCCACCTGGACCCTGTGCCCTGTGCTCTGGGTGTCCCTGCTGGATTGTCATGCTGTGATAGTAATCTTGCTGTGGGTGAGAATTGGGCTTGCATGGTCCGGGATGCCCATGGAGCCTGCACTTCCCATTGCTCCTGATTTCCCAYGCAGAGTTCTTGATTTTAGTGTCATGCTCTAGAGTGTTGATTTGCTTGGTCTTTGCCACAGACTTTACCAAAAGATCTTGTTTAAAAAGGTCTTGTTAGCAGATCTTGTTTAAAAGTTTATGCTTTGRGAAGTGGCACAAGCATTTCTTCACCCTCCCTGTTCCATGTGAAGTCCGTACCTTCTCTGCAGGAAGCTGTCGTGCAGCACTTTTTGCTTTTGTTCGATGCTTTGCGCTAGGCTYTGGCTGAATTAGCCTGATATATCTGTGCTTGAAGACTCAGGATTTAACAAAGATGCAAAGKGCTGTTTGCATCTCCTGGTGTGCCGTGCCCTCCCACAGCAGGGACCCTTTCAGCGTTCACTGATTGACCATGGTGTCATTAGATAATTTGCATTGATGCTTTGTGAAAACAGGAATGATTTATGTGCCTTGCTAGACATGCAGAAGCTGTGAACCTGGAAACAGCTACCGGGAGACGCGCAGTGTCCCATGTCCTTCCAGCGTGGTGCAGAACCTGAGAAGCCCTTCTGCACCACAGCCAGGCCCTGTTGGCTTTCAGGARACCAGCTGGGTAGGAATTTGCCCTGCTGCACTGCATGGAGCTTTCTTATAGAGGCAGGTAATGGAAGGATTAAGAAGGTATGAATGAAAGTGGGCATGGGGAAGCACCAGAAGAAAGCACAGAGGAAGGAATAAAAGACTGGCATAGGTTGGTGGCACCTAAACCAGAAAGTCATGAGTGTGTCAGCATGGATACATGTAGCTTCTAAAGACCCTTCACATGGAGAAATTACAATCACTGGCACGACAAGAGCATGAATTGACCACAGGAACCTGCGAGCGGAGCTGGAGCGGCCTGCAGGTAGAGGAGGAACCTGGCTCTGTTCGTTGTGTCTCTCCTCACA